TTGAATGCGGGCAACAGCTACCAGTGTGGGTTGATTTAATACATATCAAGAATCAGGACCCCAACATAGTGCCTGAAAGCCCAACACCAGACTTAGTCTAATTATTCTTTGGTGCCCTTCAGGGATCCCTTTTCCAAACATTAATGGCCTTGGGCACAGTAAAATAATCAGTCTTAGAGCAAATTAGAAGTTTCACCAACTTTGCAATGTGGCTAGAGCCCTGCCCTGCATTTAGATGAGGCATATATTTGCAGAAGAGGGGTGACATATGACTCCCTGACCACTTGGCAGACATGAGACCCATTATGGGGAAGGAGAAAAGGCTGAGTTTGACTATGGCCTCACACCCGGGGGAGGGGGCAGGAAAGCCCCACATGTGCCCCCTTCTACACTCCTAAGTCCAAGATCCTCGCCCCAAGCTCCAGTTCCACGAGGGCTATGCATGGCCAGAGATGTTATGGTCCACACTGGAGGAGGCAAGGCTCAAATCCAAGAGACACAGACCTCCCAGCAGAGCCGTGGGTTAGGCAGGGGTCACACGAGGAAAAGGTGCCCATGGTTCTAGGTCCAGGCCTAGGGCAAGGGTCAAACTCCTTCAGGCGCCCAGACACTTAAGCTTTTGAGACACGGAGGAGCTGGCCTCTGGAGCATACTCAGAGAAGAAGGCATTTATCAATAGCCCAATTCATTCTCAACAATCCCCATTGTCTGAACAAGCACAGAGATGGGCATTATCTCCCAAAGTCACTGAGAAGAAAAAATACCAAGACGTGGTCACAAATTAGAGTCCAAAGATACAGAAGTCAAAATTGAAACATATGGTTTGAAAACCAGATTAAACCTTCAAAATCAAGGATGACTCAAAAAAATCCACACAAATGTGGTTCCCATCATCAGAGACCAATGCTTAACTGCTGATTGTTCATTTATTTCTTCTGATCTCCTTCTATAAAAGATGTGAGAGTTTGCAGTTTAAGATAGACATTCTTTAAAGTTGCTAAAGCAGAAATTAAAACTAAAAGCCATAGTTTCAACTAAGGTAGTTACCAGAATGGAGCAGTATGATGGACTAAGAGCTTCCTAGCAGCCAGAGTGAGAAAAGAAATACAATAGGAAAATACTTCCTTCCCCTACCACCTTCACTCTGCAGGAAGTCTTCTGGACTGACCACAACCTGCCCTTATTTAATTACCCCTAAGGGTCAGGTGTAGGACTAGGCTAAAGAGAAGAAAGATCCTTCTCAAACACCCTTCTCAAAACAATGGTTGTACTCAATTTGTTCCCTTATATATGAGGGGAATTAGGCACTCCTTAAGTCAAACCATAAATATGAAGAAGGGGAAAGTCAATACCACCCTTTTAACTTCCCAGCTGTAGGAGCACATTTATCCTTGGCACCTCACTGAAGCCTGTCCAGAAGAGAATAGTGAGATGGGCAGGTCTAGATGTTAATAATAGTAATAACCACCAGCTGACATTTCAGGGCACCTACTCTTCCAATCACTGTCTAGGGTGTCCCCAGTGGTCCCTAGAGAAAGGAAGTCATGGAGAAGAGGAGAAGATAACCACTGGAAGAAAGGAGAGGAGCAGAGCAAAGGCTATCCCTCCACCAGCCTGCAGATATGAGACTCAAAGTAGGGTAGATTGAAACCAAAGAAGAGTAGAAATTAGCCCAGCTCAACTCACTGCCCTCCCTGTCAAATGGTTGCCCAGGTTCCTAACCCAGAAGGGTCACTAATCTTCTGTAGCCAGGAGAATCCAGAATATAAACTAGAACCTGGAGCAAGTTATAGGTTCTATAACTTGCTTCAGATCCCATCCCGGTCCATCTTGTCTTGCAAGACTGATCTTTTCACCTCTAAAAGCACAAATGCTGCTTTTAAGTCCCAGACCTTAAGGTCCAAGGATGCTTGATGGGCAGCCTCAGTTTCAGACTAAATGAGAGACCCAAAAGGCACTATGTTACCATCTTCCCTGACTCCCCTTCACCTCCCAGCCAAAGCCCCTGATTTAAGATATTCCCTACTGAGCCCAATTTCTTAGATCCATTGTCAGAGGTACCATTTTTAGGATGAAAGGGGAGAAAGGAATCTAGAGGGTGAGGGTGGGGCCAAGCTATACATGTTTGTGCATATACATTTTACAATGCGAGTGCATGTTGCGTGCATGCTATTGTCCATGGTGTACATGCTGAACGTGTATGTGTGTTTGCCTGGGCATCTAGAGAGGAAGCATGATTGGCATGTGTGGGGGGGAGTGTGTGCATGTGTGTGTGTGCACGTGTGTGCATAAGCATGTGGTGTGGGTGCTCTGTGTTTCTGGGTGGCCATGGTCATGTGGTCAACTTATCCCCTTGTGGTCCTGCTGCTTCTCCTAGCATGGGGTTGGGACACCCCAAGCTGTCACTCTGCCCTGGCCCAGTCAGGTGGAGTCAGCCAGAGTCCCATTTATTCCAGTGCTAGGTGAGAGGGCTAAGCACTTGTCCTGCTCAAAGCCTGGAGAAACCAAAGCTGTATGACCCACAGAGAAGACACTTCAACTGGGGACAAGCCAAGTCACCCTAGAAAGTCTGAATTCAGATACCTCTTCCAGCTTCTGAGCTCACTTGATCTCTCTCACTCACATCCATCCGTCCACACGGGGACCAGTGCAGCTCAGGTGGAGGCCTTCCTACCACTTACACAAATGAACTTCTGCAGGCACAAATACTGTCCACTGGGGACAACAGGTGCCACACAGACACACAGCCACCTGTGGGCACACTGACACACTCATTCACCCACACTCACACTTTGGGGCACAGGGTAGAAAATTCCACATGCTGTCATCACTTCCACAGGCATGCGCCTCCTCGCACAAATATTCATTTGGACATATTTACACCCACGATCCAAACAGTCACTAAACTGCTCTGTCCCCAACTAGGCTGGCAGATCCAGCCAGGGACACTGTCTACTTACTCTGAACCTGCGAGCCAGCGAGGGAGAGCGAGCGAGAGAGCAAGAGAGCTAGCGGGGTGCTGTGGATCAGCCAGCGGTGGCGGGGCACAGCTGGAGCTCCAGAGGCGGCGCAAAGTGGCTGCTGGGCCGGCCCAGCCCCAGGGCCGCCCGCTGCCCCCCCGCCCCCGCCCTGCTCGGCCCCCGCCCGCTCCGAGCTGCAGACTCCCAAGGACCTTCCACCACAGCGCGCTCCCTGCCAAGCCTCTGTCCCGCGTCAGGCTCTGCTGCCTGTGAGTCTTAGCTGGGCCGACAGGGCTATTTCCGCGGCCCTGGCAGTGGAAACGTTGCGCGCGCTCTCATCTGCCTGGGCGCTGGTTGGGGACTGGGTCAGGCTTAATTAGAGAACCAGCTCACCCCCAGGCCGAAAGGAGTCACGTCAGGTGATTGGGGTGATTGCCCGGGAGCTGTGGAGGGGCGGAGGTGCCCACATGTGCCCCGCATGCCAACATCTGGAGAGAGGAAGGGATTGTGCCACGATCGTGATCATTTCCCTTGGAACTGAAACAAAACAAGGAGGGATTTGGGTGCGGTTCACACGCCTAACTTTGAGCAGCCCCCATAAGCCTGGAATGCGATTTGGCACCACAGGTGCTTCCCTTTGGAATCTATGTCACCCACACATAAGTCACCTTCCAAACCCCAGACCTGCCGAAAATGATTGGAGGTTGTGATAGAGCCTTCTAACTTGGGCATAACAGACAACCCCTCCCAGCGCTCTGCCAGTGTCTAAGTGGAGAGGAGGAATCTGATTCCTGCCCAAAAGCTCAGGAATGTTGCATTCTTGAACTGGAGAGAAGCAAGCTCCCTTCACCCTACCATGAATCCCCAGAGTCTGGAGGACCTCCACCTATTCTTGGGGCAGGCCCTGGCTTCCCTTGGGCCCTGTACCAAACTTTGAACCCTGTCATTAGCAGGAAATTCTCCCTGGTATCTGACTTAAATTTCTCATGTGCTAATTATGCTAATTTGCTCATAATGTGTGTTCAAGAAGACGGAGATCAACTTTACCACCAGGACACATGACCAATCCAGGGGCCCATTTCAGCCTTCTCTTCCTTGATGCTAATAATTCCTATTCCCTTTCTCTGGCCCTGGCTGAAACTATTGCTCCCTGGCCCCTGATGTTAACTCTCCTGCTTCAGTTTTCTGGGGGCCTGGAGCTCTGTAAGTGGCAAAGTCGTTCTCCTCAGACAAGCTAGCTTTGACTCCAACCTTCATCCATCCAAAACAGTCTTATTCTACTCCCACTTCCTTGAGAGGGGCTTCAGTTCTTGTTTTAAAAGGTCTGTCTGAAAGCCTGGGAGGTAGATGGAGCTTGGTGCTCTCAACCAGCCACCTGGCCCAGCACTAGCAGGAGAGCCACAGCCTTCTTCAAATGGGCAGAGTTTGGAGAATCTTCTGAGTCTGTCTCTGGTAGGTAAAGTCGTATGATAAAAATTGTCTGGACTTTGTCCTCAATGAGACTTGGCTTGACATCCTGACACTACTATTTCCTGAGCTTGGCCAAGGTTGGAGTATTTATACCACAGAAAATGGGCAGACACTACAAATAAAGGTGTTGCATTATATTTTGTTTTGTTTTGGTTTTGTTTTGGAAAGCTTTTGGAACACGCCTAGCTGTGTGTTCTCAAACAAATCACCTAACTTCTCTGAGCTTCAGTTTTCCCATATGTATAATGGGATCATAATAATTTCTGTCTACTTCATGAGGTTATTAGAAGTATGAAATGAGGTCAGGGATGTAATAGGACCTGGAAAATTAAGATATTTTTTAATACACTAGAAATGGGACAAACCTTAGATCTCTATCAATGTTAACAAAAGCCTCAGAGGTGTTTTACATCCAAACTCTTTGCTTGGGTTTCAGGGCCAAAGAGGAACAGGCTTGCTTTGCTAGGTGTTCCCTTGTGGCAATTGGCATGAATGCCCCCCACCCTGCATTCCCCAACACACACACACACACACACACACACACACACATTCACCTTCCCAGATACATACAGCACAGCACAGCCTCCTGGACTCCTGGATTCCCCATAGGCCCCAGCTGCCAGGACCCTTGCCGGCCACTTCTCCATTCCCAGGGGGGCGCCTCATGGCTCCAGTCTCAGCTGCAGCAACCCCAGGTCTCCTCACAGAGGCCCTTGTGAGCAGCTTCTCTCTCCCTGACCATCCTTCAGGGCCATAGCCCTGGGAAGGCCCTGGACTCAAGGCAAAGCTGGCCGAGGCCTTCTCCGAGGCAGTTCAGGACTGAGGCAGCTCAAGGGAGCTCAGAGTCGAAGCTTTCTTCCCCTTGGCCCCCTCCCATCTGCCTTCCTGGCTTCCCAGTACTATCCTGCTTAATTCTTAATGGAAATTCCATCCCGGGCGCCGGCCTAGCTGGCTCAGGGATCCCAGGCTTGGGCCAACGGTAAACTCCACCCAGATAGAAGGGGCCTTCCTGGCTCTATAAACACACTTACACATGTGTACATACACATACAAGAAATACATGCTCAGAGACATTCACCAACTCAGATAGTCTCACCCAGACACACCCATTCCCTGGAAGATAATAAGCATTCTATTCATTAACATCTATTGCATGGTACTAAGTACTTTAAAAGTATCGACTAATCTTCATGATAGGTTCTGGAATTATGCTCCTGTTACACATGAAGAAACTAAGGCACAGGGATGTTAAGAAACCTGCATGAGGTATCTGGTAATAATAGCCCAAAATATAAGCACCAGGACCTGTGCAAGGAGGCTTATGAGTCTTGTTCCATTTTCCCACCATAGTAACTTTTTGTAGGAGTTATTATTATTTCCATAATACAGACAGGGTAAATGGAGGGTGGGGAGCTTACATCCCCTGATGTGGCCTCAGAACTGGTAAGGTAAAGGCAGACTCTACACAGATTGGTGTGGGAACACTTACGGGTGCACCAGAGAGCCACATAGGTGCACCTCTTTTCCCAAAGTGAAGTTCAGTGACTTTACATTGTTAGCTTGAGCTTGGCCAAGGTTGGAGTATTTATACCACAGAAAATGGGCAGACACTACAAATAAAGGTGTTGCATTATGTTCTGTTTTGTTTTGGTTTTGTTTTGGAAAGCTTGTGGTTGATCATTTACTAGCACCCTACAGGACATTGTGGGTCTCTATTTGCAAGTATCTCAAGCAATGTTGATGCAGGCTCACTTGGAGAAATCCTGATCTAGTGATGAGCTCTAACTCTAACCCCTCATAACACTCAACACTCTAACCCCTCATAACAGATAAGGAAATGAAGGCCCAGTCTGGGAAGAGCCCCCGTCAAGGTCATGCAGTAGTCTTCTCAGTGCAGAGTGGTGGGGGCCCTTTCCCATGCCTGCTCCTTCACATATCTGCGTGGTTTATTGGCTAGGAGAAGGAGAAGATGGGAGAGTCCTGCCACTGTGGGTCCATCAGATCGTTTCTCAGCATTGAGTGCCCTGGACAGCAGCACCTGAACTTCATGGCTGCCCTGCCCTACCAAGCCTTAACTGCTCTTCTCTTCCTGGTGCAAGTTACTTAGAGTAACAAACTGTGTCCCTTTATAATCAGAACCAGCTTCAAAAGTACAGCCCCAGAACAAGTTAGTGAATGTGGGAACCTGCCATTCCTGCCCCCTTCCCTTTCCCTATATCATGTGCTGCCCTCAGACAGAGTGCCAGAGCATGGGTGAGGGTGTGAACGTGCAGCTCTATAGGGTGGTGGCTTTCAAGGAGTGTTCCTGGAGCAGCAGCACCATTGGCCACACATGGGATCATTAACAACATGCACATTCTCAGATCTCATATCCAAGTGACTGAATTGGAAACCTGGGGCTAGGGTCAGGCCAGCTGTGTTTGAAAAGGACTCCCAAGTGACTTTGATGCCTGCTGAACTTTAAGGGCCATTGCTAGAGGAAGGGGCACAGCTTCTGCCTCACTAACAAAGAACCAAAGACTATTCAGGTCAATGAGAAAAGGCCATCAAGGTGCATAACCAGCATAAGCTGTGTGGGGATAGTCTCACTCCTTCCTGCCCAGTGCCCTTAACCTTGTACTCCTGGGGATTCACAGGAGGCTAAGCCATGGCTACAAAGCATACTGAGCTAAAAGAGTCCTCTTTTCCAAATCTAAGGGTGGTCTCTTTCCAAAAACAGGAGGGCAACCTCAGCAGAGACACTGCAGACAAATGTCCCTTCTGCATTGCAATGGTGCCTACCGTAGAGGTGATTCAGTGGACCTTCCCTGGCTCTTTGGATTCTCAGAGCCTTGCTCTGCCTGGCCTGGGACAGCTTCAGGTAAAGACCTGCCAAGATTCTGGCTCTGGAAGCCATTGTAGCCTCTCCAGCTTGGAGATTAGTCTTTCCTCCAGTTCCTGTGTTCCCCAGGTTCAGGGAGAAAGATGAGGTTTGAGAATCATTGAAGAAGTGAGGTCTTAGGGAGAAGGACAAAATAATAACAAAATAACAACATTATTGGTAACTACATTACCACGGATTGACTTCTTCCTGTATTCCAGCCTTCCTGTATACCAGCCCTGCCCATACACAGTACTTTCCATGTTTTATCTCACATATGTCTCACCAGAGTCTAATGATGTAGTCATTATAGCCCCACTTTAGAGGAAAGGAAACAGGTTGAGAGAGGTTAAATAGCTCTCCCCAAAATACACAACCAGAGTGTGGAAGATCAGAGAGTCATACCCAGGTCAGCCTGACTCTAGGCCCCACGAGTTTCAACACAAGTGCCGAGGTTCACTTGGGGCAGGACGTGCACCTGCTGCTGAGAGGAAAGGACAGGACAGGAGAGGAGAGGAGGGAGGCCTGGGAGACTTGTGCAGAACAAAGGGGCACAGGTGAGGGGTGGGACAGAGAAGCTCCTTTAGGAAGGACAGAGAAGAAAGCATAGGGTTAGGAAGGACAAAAGGGGCCCTGCTGGGGTTGAGAAACAGGAAGCCGGGAGAGCAATGCACCCAAGCCAGAGCTTAGTGACTCCAGATCTGACTTTGGAGTCAAGAGCTGACCCAGAGAGAATGGGGCCTGCGGACAGAGGTGATTGATGCACGTGGGCACTGGGAGTCATAGAAATTTCTCCTCCTGGAGGGTGGGGCAGCTCTGGAACTGGTGGTGAGTTCAAATCGAGATAGGTCACTCAATGGCATCACCTCCACCCAGCTGTCTCTGAGTCATCTTCACTCCACTATCCACTCCTGGTACTTGCACCTGGCCAGCCAGTTCTCTCTGCCCTACTGCCTAAACCCTCCACTACTTCCGGTCTGCACTGCCCCCACCCCAGTCCACGCCATCCTCGCACGACTGGGCTCCCGCTTAGAGCCTCTCCCCTCTGACCTCCCTAGACCACACAGCAGCTGGAGTCATCTCTACCAATGTAAATAAGGGCTTGCTTTCCCTGACCAAAAACTCTGCAACAGCCTCTTACTATGGCACTTGGAATAAAAATTTCAAACCCTCTCCTCTAGCTCACAAAATGCCATGTGACTTCTCCCATTCAGAGTCTCAGGTCACATCATCTTCCTGAGCGAAGACATCCCTGACCTGGAAAGGACCATGCCCTGTCTGTCATTCTCTTGTGAATACTACTTATTACTCTCTGAAAACTGCTTTGTTTATTTACGTGTTTGATCACTCTCTGCCTTTCCCACCCTCCACACCACAGGAACAGAGACTCTCTCTTCTGAGCACAGTTTCTGACACACAGTAGATAGATATTCAGCAAACTTTTGTGTAATGGTTCATTCAAGCCCAATGGAGAGTGTAGCTGCCCATGCAGCAGAACAGAGAGGGGGCAGAGATCATCCAGGAACTATCTACAAAAAAAAAAAAGGAGCCAACAGAAAACGTGGCCCCCGTAGGAAGAGGACTTAGGTTTCCAAGTATTTTCCCTCAGAAAGGCATTCACACCCCTAGTTCCTGAGACCCAACACTTCCCCTGCCCTGGGGATCCCATGAGACATCGGAACATTCTAATAACAACATTTTTTCCCTTAAGCTGGCTTGATTTTTTTTTCTTTTGCTTGCAAGTTTAAAAGTCTTTATTTGCACCCCCTTCATGTCTTCTCAGCAAAAAGAGAAGGCCCACAACACAGGGGATAAGGATTTGGGGCATATCTTTTATCTCTGCGACACTGAACAAGTGTCTTGACTCCTCCAAGTCTCCCTGCCTATAGCATTTGAGAACCAGTCTAAGAATCCTTCCAGGAGGACACTGAGACCAAAAGTCACGAAAGGGGCTATCTTTCAGGTAAAATGCATTTGCTGTACATTTTCATATCTCAAGCAGGTCTCAGCAGGAAAGGTCATTCAAGTGAGATTTGGAAGATAATTTAAGGAAATGCTATTTATATTGAGGGTTAAGAGAATAAGTTGTCTAAGGAATCCAGAGACTGACTGAGGAAGTGATTACCCCCTCCAAGTCTACCCAGAAGAAGCTGGGATCATAAAACTATAACTCCAAAGGAAGGAGGTGGAGAAGAACTTCCCCAAACTATTCCTGCTCCTTTCTCTGATCTCCAGCTAATACCTCCATTTGCTGAACCCAACAAGAGTGCAAGGGAACCCAAGTGATGTGATCTGAGGACCACCTTCTCAGGACACAGGGCAGAGACCATAGAGAAGTTAGAGGGAGAGTGCATAGTGCCAAGGGTTGATAAGCAAAACCCAGATAAAAACCATGACCTACAAACTCTCTAAATCTTCACAGACTCCCTCAACAGAAGCACTGAACTCTCTAGAAAGCCTCCAAACTGCCATCATGGCTTTGAAAGGCCCAGACGTATAGCCCTTGGCCTGCCAAAGGCAGAGGCTATGCTATCAAGCACACCCAACAACTGGGATGGGAGCTTCCAGAGAAGTTTCACCAGGAGATGAAAAATCTGACAATCTGAATAATTGAAAAGCCTAATGCCAACCCCCAGATACATTATTGATGATGGATGGGTAATTGCCCAGAAAGGATCCTTCTAATAGAAACCATGCCCAGACCAGAACTTTTGTAGGAAAGAGAAAATAGATCTGTTTTATGTTCCCTACAATTAACACCACCCACAATTTAAAAGATAGGCTTCAGAATTTGTCCTTGGGTAAG